TATCAAATGTACTAATAAAAACACAAATGCATTGAAAATAGTCAAAAATATATAAACATAAGATGTTATTATCACTGTCATTAGGACACTGGAAACCTTGAGGAGAGTTTGAGTAAAAAGGGGAATTAAGTAAAAAGTAAAAAAGAAAGTCCAGAGCTGGATATTGAAGGACTTGGAAGACGTATTCTCTCTCCTCTTTATTTAACCAGGTGGGTTGTCTAGAGCCTTACTGTAGAGGTGACAGCATGACTTATTTCTCTTTTAAGTTTTAATATTTTTTAAATTGAAGTATAGCTGATTTATAATATTGTGTTAATTTCTGCTGTACAGCAAAGTGATTCAGTTATACATATATATGTATAAATGCATATATATGTATGTGTATATATATATATATATATATATGCATTCTTTTTTATATTCTTTTCCATTATGGTTTATCATAGGATACTGAATATAGTTCTCTGTGCTATACAGTAGGACCTTGTTGTTTATCCATTATATATAAAAGCTTACATCTATTAACCCTAACTTCCCACTCCATCCCTCCCGCAACCCCCTCCCCCTTGGCAACCACCAGTCTGTTCTCTATGTCCATGATTCTGATTCTGTTTCATAGATAGGTTCATTTATGTCATATTTTTAGATTCCACATATAAGTGATATCATGATCTTTTTCCTTCTCTTTCTGACTTACTTCACTTAGTATGATCATCTCTAGTTCCATCCATGTTGCTGCAAATGGCATCATTTCATTCTTTTTTATGGCTGAGTAGTATTCCATTGTATATATGTGCCACATCTTTTTTTTTTAACACCTTTATTGGAGTATAATTGCCTTACATTGTTGTGTTAGTTGCTGCTGTATAACAAAGTGGATCAGCTATACGTATACATATATCCCCATATCCCCTCCCTCTTGCGTCTCCCTCCCACCATCTCTATTTCACCTCCCATTGAGACTGGGTGGATCTTTGCACTGCCTGTTGAATAGAATGTGGTAGAAAGGATGCTGCCTGATTTCTGAGGGTGGATTAGATATGCCATCATATTTTGGGAAACTCACTCTGGGAATCTTCAGCCACCACTTGCAAAGTCTGGCTGCCCTGAGGCTGCTGTATGGAGACCACTGGCCATCAGCTGCTGTATGCCAAATAGACCACTAGAGACAGATGCCCAAGGAATCCCATTATTCCAGACCCCAGCTGTTTGATTCCTTCCAGCTCATGCCAGCTTATGTGAATAAACGATCTTTCAAGACGGTCCCAGCCCCAGCCATTGCCTGACTGTAACTATATGAGAAACTTTGAGTCCAGTCAATCCCCAGATTTTTAACCATATTTAATGATTTAATTATTGTTCTAAGCTGCTCTTTCAGGGTGGCACGTTACAAACAATAGATAAGTGGCACAGTTACAGAGCAGTATGTGCCCTACCTGATTTAAGGAAAGTGCTTAGTAAGTGTGCGTTATTGTTAGATCAGTGTTTGCTGTTAGCTTGTTATCAGTGTGCTCATCTCCCTGAGCCCATTTTATCTGTAAATTAGATGTATTAGGACCTGGATTATCTGCTTCATGTAATGGTGATGAAGATTAGATGAGATAATAAATGTAGGAAAGTCCTTTGAAAAGTAATACAGTATGTAAAAAGTGAAGTATTTTACCATTTTTAACATCTTTTAACCTAATCTTAGAAGGAGTTTAATATTGAGAAGATATACTTTATCACTACTGCTCTCTTTTAAGAGATAAAATGGGTCTTTTTCTTCTCAAAACTTTAAACATTCTAAGGAGCTAAATGAAAAACTTAGGTGGATCATTTAGTGTGCATGCACGAAGTTGCCAAATTGACACGGTTAAAATGTCTGAGAATAAAAGCTGAAAATTCTGTATGTTGTTAGCTTGCCTCCAATTTTCATGTTGTTCTAAATAGAGCTGTAGCACAAAGTAAGCTTGTTTAAGGTGATTACATACTATCAATTTTATTAATATCTGATTTTAGAATAGATTTCTCCACAGCCATCTGCATTTATACCTGTCATCCACAAGGTGGCAGTAAAGATTCTGATTTGAAATGGCCATGCCCTCCTGAGGCTATTCATGGCGCAACATACAAGGGACAGAACAACGCAACCAAAAATAAATAAATAATTAAAAAAAAAAAAAGATCTGTGCTTCTGATAATTGAAGAGTGAGGACACAGACACACGATTCACTGTTAGAAACTTTCTTGCTGGGGTAGAAGCAATATAGGAACCTCCAACCCCTGATCTATGGATGAGTAAGTAGGTCCTATCATTAAATGTAAACCAGAATTTGCCAAAAAAGCTTAAGTTATGAAACTAAGAGTCTTGTGGCGGTGGGTGTGGTGGAAAGAACAATTAGGTACTTTCTTGGACAAATGGGAAAAAGAGTACTTTAGATCCTGGAAGAAATGGACAAGGATGAAATAGCTTCTGGGAAAGGCCATCTTTTGACTTGATTATCTATGACTGGGCTTTCTATAATGAGAGACAAAAATTTCATTCTATACTTGACAGAAGTTTCAAAATGCAACAGCAGATTGAGATAAGGCAGTGTTAGAAAATTTCCCTTCTCCGGTACAATCAGTCATTTAGCCAACTGGTGCTTAACGGGTTGATCTCAGAAGCTTTCCTTTTTCTAAGTGGAGTGAGGTAACACGCTTCTGGAGCAGTGATTTGCAGTCTTGGCTACCAGCTTCCATCAAGACTGATTAAATCTGAATCTCAGAGAGGCGGGTCCTGGGCACCGTTCTGTTTTGTTTCCCTTCAGATGATCCCTTCTTCAGATGATTCTAATATGCAGCTAGGCTTGAGAATCACTGGTCTATGGATGGGTGGGGATGAGACTTCTGTGGTGGGGAGAGGTACACAAAAGGGAGACCAGAGGCCTAAAAAGACAACCTTCTGAGCCTTCTTGTTTATTTTTAGCTATTTATCACTAAATGGAAATAAACAGTTAAGTTGATTAAATTCTCACTTCATTAGAGCATATTACATACTGACATAATAGAACAGCTTCTCCCTTATGTTTTAAAATTTAAATCTCCACAAAAAGAAGCTTTGTTTTGCAAGAGTTTCCAGTTAGGTATTAATACACTAATCCTGTGTAGGCCATTTAAGGAGATGGTTCCCAGGTGATGGTTTAAGAATCACCTGTGGGATGACTTAGGCATCCAGAAAAACACAGGATGTTAGTACTGCAACTTGAAAGACTTTAAACCTTGCAAAGGGTGCAAAAATAACAGAAGGCTTGTGTGATGGTTAAATTTCAGGTGTCAACTTGGCTAGGCTATGGTGCCTTTTTGTTTAGTTATACATTAGTCTAGATGTTTCTGTAGGTATTTTGTAGATGTGATTAACTCTCCCACCAGCTGATTTCAAGTAAAAAAGATTATCCTTGATGATGTGCGTGGGCATCAGCCAATCAGGCAAAGGTCTTAAAAGCAAAGACTGAGGTATCCCAGAGGAGAATTCTATGTCGAGACTGTAACGTGCGTGAGTCTCCAGGCTGTTGGCCTGCCTTACGGACTTCGGACTTCCCAGCTCCACATTTCTGTAAGTCAGTTTTAATAATAAATCAATCTCTCTATCTCCTATTATTTTCTTGGAGGAACTCTGACTGATGGAGTTTGTGGATTACATTCTTAGAAACAAAGTATTGTTTTCTTTGTTTCTCTCATGAGGACCAGTGTTTTTCGAGGAAGGTGATATGTAAGGTATAAAAAATTGAGGACAACTTATATAATAGACATTAACCGGTAAAGTCAGCTATGGTTGACAGTAGTAGGTGGAAATTCAGAAGTGTCTCTTTAATGTTGGGAAGCGCTTAGGAAATAAGCATAAATTCTGGCAATATCTTCTCAAAAAATCTCTGTTTCCTACCAAACGGAAGAAATGCAGGCATAATTATGGGTATAAAGTCTAAAATTAAGATTCTTGTACTAAAATGATGGAATAGTTGGGTCAGTGATTCTCAATATTAAAAAATGGTGAAAGGTGTTCAGAGTTTGCTGGAAAATATATCCAGGGGAACCATGACAACACTACTTCAACCAATCATGTAATATTTATTGAATACTTAGTGATAAAAAAAAACACCCAGTTCTGCCTAGTCAGGTGTAAAAATACTTGACCAAAATGGACCAGTTTGTAAGCAGTTCATGAATAATTTGTAAATGTGACCTTTCAGATAAGAGCAGAGCAGAAGTTATCAAAATTACTTTCACAGAGCCATAATTCTGGGCCATATTGAAAGGAAATGAGATCACTGGTTAAATGTAGACAGTAATAAGTTGTATACCGTAAGTTGTAACTCTTCAAGGAACATACACTACATTGTGATTCCAAAACTAATTTGATCAGTGAGTACATTCTTCAAGTATGCCTATGAGTCTTGACTGGTGTGCTAGAAATGAAAGCTAAGTCTTTGTTTTTTACTAACTCTGCTACCTTGGGCCCTTCACCCACCTTTATGGAGTCTCGTTCCCCATATCTTTTATCAATGCTGCTTACTTCTCAGAGTTGGTTTTGAAGCTTCAGCAAGTTAATTTTAGAAATAAAAAATAGACTTTAAAAGGTCTAAAATGCTGCCTACAAGTGAAATGGGTAGGTCGTTGCTTTTTTACTTCATGGAATCACCTAAAGAACTTCCCTGTTTGAGGTTAATTTTCCCTCTTGGAATCTTCGTGGGAGGGTAGAACTGCACATTCTGCAGAAGCTGCAAGGAGCAGGCATTGGCTTTCCCAGCTCTTGGCAGCTGAAGTCTTGAGCACCTGATCTTGGTTTAGTTAATGAAATGCAACCTGCTGGGGCTTAGAATCTTGGGAGGGGACCAGGGACGATTTTGGTTAATATGACTCCAGTTATTTGCTATAAAACATGCTTCGTCTCTACCATAAAACTCTACATGTACCACGAGGTGAATTTCAATTCCTTGAAGCAGTTAACTATAAATATAGAAGGCTTTCCTTGGCTTGTATTGGTTTCAGAGGAGCATTTATTCTGAAAACATAATCTTTCTTTCAAAGCAAAATCTGTTGAGTTAGAACACCTTCAGTTTCCATGGGCAAATCAAGCACATAGAAATAATATAGTGTATATACGGTAAATCGAATTCAGCTGAAATCATTGTATTTAGAACTTTGACCCAATAAATTGCTCTGAGGACTCGTCTTTAGCAACAATAAACTTGTTCAGGCTCCAAAGATTTTCTTTTTGCCAGGCAGATACTACCTAATTAATGGCGTACAACTTGCAGCTGGGAGCAAGAAGGTATCCTCAGGGAGGCTGCTTTTTCTTTAATTAAAAACAAAATTTTTCTTTAAGAAGTGAGCTATTCTGGGCTATTTATGGTAGAAGGCTGTTAACTTTTTCTTAATGGTAAGTATTAAGCCTGAGAAGCGATCAAGGCATGGAGCTCAGTGTGCTGGGAAGTGTAAAGTGGATGCTTATGCTGTGAATCTTTTAGGACACAGCAAATCTAGAAAAAAGCAGGGCCTTGTGAGGCTGAGGCTGCCTCCTGTAGTGTCTTGGTGAAGGTCACAGGACTAGTGCTGGAGATCAACATGGCAGCATCATGCTCGTAGCATTTATGGCTTGCATTGTAGTTCCATTTATTTTGTTAACAGATCATCATACTTAACATTAACAATAGCACGAGGCTATTACAGCTGATAACAAGCAGGGAGTATCCTAGTTGTCTCCCTAGGAGCTCTGGTTTTGCTTAGGTTAGGCCGTCAGATGTCATTCCCAGAGTGGTTCCAGCTCTAGGTCTGTGGGGATAATGGAAATAAATGTTAGAAAACCAGAGCTAATGGGCGACAATCATCCTGCAGTTCAACAGATGCATATAAGGTCAGGTTATTACACATAAAGATAAACCTGTCTAGCGTGACCCGTGTATCCACTACAGCCCACCTGATGGGTCCAGGGTCAATGTAAGAAATTCCCAAGGCCTGAATATAAAGGCATCACTGTTATGCTAAGGTACATCATACAGTTTTTTTTTCTTTGAACTAATGGTGTATGTAAGTTTCTGATGTATGAGTATGAATAATCACTGCCAGAGCGAAAAAAGACAACCAATGCACATGAGGCCCCTCAGTCATGGGACTGAGATAATAGTTCAGTTGTTATTTTAGTACCTCACTGAGTGTGAGGTTTTAATCAAATCACCTTCTACTTTGTAATGAAGCAAATGTGTCTCCCCCTTGTTTATTTTCTTTTCCAAGACACTACAGCAGAGTTGTATCATAATTGTGTTTGCACAGTGCAAGAAATTCCATCTTTCATTGACCTCAATGAGTTTATGCCTTGGAGTGGGGATGAGAAAGGAGACACCTCCATGCTTCCCTCATGTTTCTCTTGTGGTGTCAGCACCTAGTTGAGCTGAATGTGATTCTAGTAGTATTTTCCCTCTGACTCGATTCTGCAGCATGAGCTAGCTCCTTTATCTGTTGGCAACCCAAGGAACACTAATCGTTTCCAAAGCTGAAGGCAAAAGATAACTGGCTTTGTGGGGTTTATTAAAAGACAGTAATTCCTTCTCCAATGGGGCATGCAAATGTGGTCACAATCAACTTGGGGGTTAGAAGAAATTGATCAAGGGGCCCAATAACTGTCAAGATGACAAGTCGTTTTATAAAAAGACTTTAGTTAAGAATGAAATAGCATCAAGCTGTTGAGTGGAAGACATGAATTGTGGGTGTACCTAAGGATGGGATCACCTTGAGACAAAGGCTTCAGCTTCTACAAGCTGTTCAAATCTCTAGAGTGGGGTGGGCTTTCAGTGAAAAACACATAGCCAGCCAAAGTTAGTTTAATGGATTTAGGAACTGCTTCATGCTAAATAATGTGCCACTTCTGTCATCAAGAGCGTAATTGTTAGAGTAAGAAAAACCATAGAAGAACTTGGATATATTCTACAGCAATTTAAGATATGAAGAAAAGGCTGGTCTGGGGGGAGAGGGGGGAGGGAAGACAAGTGCTCACGACTTAGTTTGGAATCAAAGTCAAGTGCTGGATTCAGAGCAGCTCACGACTGCTCATAATTAAATGAATCCAGGATTGTCCTACAGAGCTACAGAATTCTACCTGGAACCCAAGAATCATAATCTGCTGGCTGTGTTCTAGAAACCTAATAGAACCGTTAGGTTATGGCATCATTACTTCTAGACATCAAGTGCCCCAGTCCCACAACCTTGTGAACAAGGTATAATTTGCTCTTTCAAAGCCACATAACCGCTCCAAGTATAACAACCCTTTATAATTGCAGGTTGTGGTTATAATAAACAGGCAGTGGGTAAAATAGAGCTTGAAACCTATGGAAGGAATATGTGAGTGATTTTTAGGGCTTCCTTCTAGCTCATCAAAATGTGTTTGGGTGGCCAAACAATTGGGTGATGCAGAAATTGAAGGGCTAATTAAAGGCCATAGAAAAATATTGACTAATGCGAGAGAAATGATAAAATAGTTATAGAAGATAATGACTAGAACCAGAAGAATCAGTATATTAGAACCCTTCATTAATCTGTCACTGAAAAAAACAGTTTACCTGTTGATTTAGCCAGCATTAAATATTTCAGAAAGTTGTTAGGTTAAAAAAAAAAAAAACTCTACCAAATTAGTGTTACCGCTCCTTAAAATACCCTCTTTTTCAATTTGTGCTCCCAGGGACTGAAAGAATATGAATATACATGAGACACCAAAAAATGCACTGAGTTCCTAGAGAATAACATAATCCGGTGAAAGCAAATTCAAAGGAGAAGTTATATGGCTTTCCAAACGACCCGAATTCTTATTAAGGCTAGGGATACCTCAAAGGGTGGGAGGTAAGGTAACTTGTGTATTGGGATTTTAACTCTATATAGATTATATGTGGATTGAGATGAAGGGAGACTGAATTAATTTAAATGAGGGAAAACGATTAGTTTAGCAGCAACAGAGAGCAGATACTATTTTTAACTCTAGAATAGTTATACTCAAAGTAACTTCGCTTTTAATTTTTTAATTGAGGTATAAGTGACATATTAGTTTCAGGTGTGGTCTTTTTCTCCAGAAATAGTTCAGTGAACTTACTTTCCCTTTAAGACACAATATTCATGTGCAAAAGCACAAGAATATATAGGCAGGGAAACTTGTTTTAGTTTAGATTCATATTGCAGACAAAGAACGTTGCCTGCCGTCAGACACTGCAGCTGTCCTGACAGTGTGCCCTGAGGGGAATTCAGGATGGAGAAAAACAGAAAACTTTCTGTGCTCTGGATTCTGGCTCTACGCATATCTAAAGCAATAATTTCAATGACCCCAGATTCTTGCACCTTCCCATATAATAGAAAAGAACTAAAATCACTAACTTGAGATGTCTGTTCTTTGTGATTAGCAATCATCTTTGATGTTCAACTTCATGTTTGTTTTTTCAGCAAAAAAACGCCTATATATCCTGGCTCCTCCCTTACCTCCTCAGAGCTATCTGAGAGGCTGTCTCCTGGGCTATAGTCCTCAGTAAGGTTCCCAAATAAAACATAACTCACAACTTTCAGGTTGTATGTTTTTCTTTAGTCAACAGTTGTATCAGTAGTAGAAGCGGCAGTAGTAACAACTTTGCTAGTATTACTGCTACTATTTTCTAGGAAGTTTATATGCATAATCATTTCACTTAATCATTACAACAATGTGAGAAGTAGATATTACAATTTTCTTCTTACAGAAAAGGGAACTGAGCTCTAGGCAGTATAATTTAAGTTTATAAAGATAGACGGAGAGGGGATTCTAATCCAGATTGGGTGATTCCAAAAATGAGTTTCCTTGATCATCTCCATTGCAGTGCCTCTCAGAATGTTAATTTTCTTTTGCTGTTTCTAATGATTCATATTGTTGATAGTTGGAAGCTTGAATTTCACTAGTCAAAGGCTTTTGCTTTCATATCATTTTAGGAAAAGATACCAGTAAATCGGCAGTTAAAATTTTACATCATTGAAAAGCCTGTTTAAGACCTGAGATAAGCCAAAACCACTTTTTTAAATCATTTTTTTAAATTTCAGAAGCAATATCTTTTGTTGTTGTTGTTGTTGCGGTACGCGGGCCTCTCACTGTTGTGGCCTCTCCCGATGCGGAGCACAGGCTCCGGACGTGCAGGCTCAGCGGCCGTGGCTCACGGGCCCAGCCGGTCCGCGGCATGTGGGACCTTCCCGGACCGGGGCACGAACCCGTGTCCTCTGCATCGGCAGGCGGTCTCTCAACCACTGCGCCACCAGGGAAGCCCAGAAGCAATATCTTTAAAATGAATACAATTAAATCTAGAGAGAAAATATTTTTGTAGAAATGTGCACAGTTGAGATCACCTTCAGTTTAAAGTATGGAGTTCTATCGAAATTATTTTATACTTTTAATATCTTTATCAGGCGTTTCTTAATGGGTGAAAATGTAATATCTGAAAGAAGCAAGTGGTACTCTTTCCAGTGTTGCTTTAATTTGAGGAATGCCGCTTGCCTTCTGAGAACCCTGCCATGTTATCTTTAAGACTTGATGATCTCTGTCTTTGAACTCAGTTTTTTCTATTGAATGCATTAAAATCCCTGAAATGATCTCTATACTGTCATTATTTTAGATGTGAGGTTAAGATGGATATAGTACCAGGCTGGGGATCTGAATTCTAGTCCTAAATTTGTCAGAAGTTGGTCGTATATACTTGCGTAAGCTCCTTGACTTTTCCATATGCTTAATATTCTCATCTCATAAAATAGTCTCATAAAATGACTTTAAATAATTGTTAGAATAATTTGGACAAATAGTCTCCTTCCCATTATGATTTTAAAGATACATTGTACAAAGCTGGGTTCTTTGCTGCCTTTTAAAACTGTACTTACCAAAGACAGTACACATGCATCAGGACTGTAGGGTATTCATTTCAGCATCAATCTGAAATGAAAAAAATTATTTAAATCATGGAGTGTTTTGTTTGTAGACTAGTAGGTCATTTCAAAAGGTATAATAAATTTTTTTGAACCGTGTTTAGAGGAAAGGATTCTTGTCAAAATGCAGTTTTATATTGAACTTTTAATTGACCATCCTTCACATCCTTATTTAGTTTTACAGTGTCCCTGCTCTTGAAGAGTTTACAGTATTCCAGGAAAAAAGACAAGGAACAAATGACAATAGTTAATAGGTGCTAATTATTGGGTGTGCACTGAATGTTAAAGCATAACAGCTTGGGTGCCAGGGAAGGATTCCCAGAGGAGGTGGTGTCTAAATTGAATCCAGAATCTTGATGAAAGATTGAGCCACGTTATAGGGTGCGAATAGGGCAATCTAGGATGAGTCATTAGGTGCAAAACCTTGAGGTAAGAGCAACTTTAATGTACTTGAAAAATTGCAAGTAGTTCAGGAGAACCAACACAAGAGGAGCAAGAAGTAATGATCAGTTTGGAGAGGAAACCAAGGGTCCAAATTCTTTGATTAAAAAAGAAAATTGGACTTCAATTTAGAAGCAACAGAGAGCAATTAGAATGTATTAACCATTTTGTGCTTTGCAAAGGTTATTTTGACCTCAGTATAGAGATGGAATTGGGTGTGAGGCACTGGAGGAAGACTGGAGATGGGAGACCAAGGGTGTAATCCCGGCAAAAGATTGCCGAAGAGTACTGATAATGTAGAAGAAGGTATCTACTGAGAGATATTGAAGAGTTAGAATTGATAGGATTTGGAATTTAGTTGAATGTATATAGAAGTCAAGGATTCCATTTTAGACAATGTGAATGACGATAATATTTATACATTTAGGAAATAAGAGGGGGTTTTAGGGGAAAGACTTTGGGCATGTTGAGTTTGAATTTCTTGTGGGACAAGAGAGCCCCCATGGACAGTTGGATAAAAATGTTGGTGCTGAGGGGAGAGATTCTGGCTAGAGGTAGAGATTTGAAGATTGGAGGCATGTCCATGGATGAGAACACTCAGGGAAAATGTCATGTCATGAAGAGTGAAGAAGATCAAGGAAAAACTCTGGAAAACATGGAAACTTAAGGGATAGGTAGAGAGGAAGACAATACTAGAGAGAGTAAGAAGGGAAGAGTCAGAAGGAAAAAGGTAGAATATGATAATGCAGATGACAATTGTTTCAAGAAGAAAAATAATTGTGGGTATCAAGTGTTTTGCAGAGAAGGCTGGTAAGATAAGGACTGAAAAATGTTTATTAGATTTAGCAAGAAGATTTCAGTGTGACTTTGCCATCAGTGGTATGGTAGCATCAGAAGCCGTACTGCAAAGGGTAGAGGAATTAATGAGAGGTGTAAGGAATGAGAGTATATGCCGTTCTTTCAGGAATCTTGGCTGTAAGAGAAGGAGGAAAAAAAAGCTAGGGAGTAGTGTCTAAAGTATCTTAGTTTTTTAAGATCAGGAGATAAGTAACTTTAAATTAGAATCATTAAAAAGGTATTGTTGAAACAAAAGAGTGTAACTAATGAAAGAAGATTCCAAGGAAGTGGGATGAATGGAATTCAGAGCGATACTACTGACCTGGTATCATTTTTTCTATTTTAACAATAATTTTGGATTTTCAGTCAGTAATTAATAGTCTTCCGGTATCGGTAATTTGCCTTTGTCATTATTAGCTAAATTCCGGCTGAATTCTGACAATGACATGGAGTGACAGTAACAGACTCATGAAATAAACTTATGATTTTCCTTATATAATCTCTATATCTCACTCAACCGATGTGTAAAGGGGAATTAAAATGTTACCTAACATTTAGAATTGTTTTAGATCATTCTATAAATACACGTAAAGCTATTAATATTCTGCTTAATAAATAGAAATGGTTTAATAATTGCTAGCTATGACACTGAGGATTATAAAATCTACTTATACTGAGAGATGTAACAATTTTTCCTGAAGTATGGGAGAGAAGAAAAGGGGAGAGCAGGAGGTGAAGGGGATGAGAGAGGAAGAGTCAGTCTCCTCTTTGCCCAGCTTCTCTTGGCTATTTGCATTTGACTGTCTTTGAAATTTTAATGATCAACTCCAGCACATAACAGTGGCTTTCTGAAAACTTTGGGAAATCTGTTGGGACATCTTAGGGATAGCATAGTAATGAGTTTTCAGAAGAATGAACAGGGATGCCTTGCCTGAATGATGGAGAGAAATAAAAATCAAGTCTAATTTTGCAGCGGTAAGTTTTTCTACAGTCAGTGGGCCTCTACGGAATATAAAAATGGACCAGTTCTGAGTGCCGTGGTAGAGCCGAAAGAAAATTACACTGATGGTTCTGTTTCCTGTTGATTTCAAGATCAGGGTGAGGGTAGGTAGGGGTAGATGACCACGTAATGAAACACTGATTTAGCATGGTTCAGAGGCCCCTTCTGCCACTCTTCTAGCAACTGTGCCAAGTATATTTAGAATGGCAGACAGAAATGGATCCCTGGATATAAATGACTTGGAGTGAATGTGGTAGATGGGCACTACTTATAAGGAAAAGAAACTGTCAAGCATTTGGATGAGGAGATTAAATGATAAACTTAATGAGAAGTCATCCAAATTATAGGGTAAATGGGACAAATATTTACACTAAGCATTGAGAATTAAAGCGAATGCTGTTCTAGCGGATTGAAGTCAGAAAGCAGAGGTGAGCACACCTACCTCACAATGAGATTAACGTAGAAAGACAATCAAAAAGGCTAACAAACACCAGAGGCTCTAACGTCCGAGGGCTCTAAATAATCAAATGTTCATGAGTATCTCAACTCCATTCCTCTCACTGTTCTTTAGCTATTACGGAAAGCCTGGCTGCTCAGCAGCAGCACTGCTATAAATTTACTGGTTATAAAGCAAGAAAATAGAACACTACCAAACTGCCTTCTCATCATGGTTGTTGAAAATAAAGTTTAAAAACGGCAATGTGTTATAACGAAAAATATAGTGAAAAGCAGATTAAAGAAATGAAAAGCAAGAGGCTTGAAGGAAGCATGTGCTTCGTGCATAAAGCTCAGTTTGTCTCGTATGAGGTCAAAAAATTTGTAGCTGGATGAACAGATGATGGGACTAGAGACGGGTTACAAAAGTGGTATTTTGACAGAATATAAGAAAAGGATTTAGGCTTTTTTTTTTTTTCTTGATGACTGCATGAGACCGTCAGAGCAAATTCTGCTGATAGAAAACACCTTTTAGGTAGGGTGACTTTTTTTTTTTCCCCCTTCTGGAAAAGGCAGCCTAAGCTGCTATTTATATTACCCAAAGCCAGTTGGTAGTCCAGGAAGGAACTGTTCTATTTAGTTGCCTTATGCTAAATGTTTTAATGCCGATAATGACCAAAATATCCTAATACTCCAAGTCTTTCAGTTTTTGTTTAGAATCTTACTTGTTTTGAATTTCAATGAAAGGTGAACATGATATATTTCTCAGCAGAATTTAAAGAACAGGCTTTTATTCTATTGTACCCTTTTCGTCTGGAATTCTGACTTTACAAATCATTACAAACAAGGTTGGCAAATAGGTTTGGGATTGGAGTGTGTACATGGAAATTGGAGGAGAAATCAGAATCTTCAAGGGTATAGAGAAGAAAGACAAACAATATGATGTAGCTCGATTTGTTAATTTACGGCTTTGTTTGGCAGTATACGGTGAAAAACAAAACTTCACTAAAATGTTAAGAGAATTGGGTACGTATAACCCCAAACTTAAAAGAATAAAAACAAAGGCACAAACAGCTTTTCACAGTCTGACTTTCCAAAAACCACTTCAAATATAAAAGAGCCTCTACTGAGAAGAGAGAAAGGCATTTTCTAGTTGGTAGAGAAAGCCAGACTAGACTCAGTAGAAATTATGAGGAGAATATCATGGTTTAGTTTATAGAAAAATGTTCTCATAAATGAAGCCACTGGGCAGTGAAAATAGTCTACCTCTAAGAGAAAATAAATTGACTGTATTTAAATGGAAGCTGAATGACCTGTGGAAGGGATTAACTGAGTAACAAAGTACACTAAATGAGCTTCAAGGTTTTCTTCTGACACACAAACTTTTGTGATTTTTATTAAGTTTTAGGATATTATCAAATGTGCTCTGATAGAATAGTAATAGAAATAGAATAGAAAAATAATAGAATAATAAAATGAAACCAGCCTTTGTTGCTTTCATGGTTTAGATGAACAAAAATTCATGTAAGTTCTTGAAAAAATTCTTTAACTTATAGAAAGGGACTTCTAATTGGCATTAAATCACTGGCCTAAGTAGTATTAACTTTTTTTTTTTAATTAATTTATTTTTTTGCGGTACGCGGGCCTCTCGCTGTTGTGGCCTCTCCCGTTGCGGAGCACAGGCTCCGGACGCGCATGCCCAGCGGCCATGGCTCATGGGCCCAGCCTCTCCGCGGCATGTGGGATCTTCCCGGACCGGGGCACGAACCTGTGTCCCCTGCATCGGCAGGCGGACTCTCAACCACTGCGCCACCAGGGAAGCCCCGTAGTATTAACTTTTACACTATAGTTAAATTACTTTTATGTAAAAGCAAACATGATGGGTCCAAAATGGATCATTAATGTTTCCTTCCCAACAGACAACAAAACCAACAATAGTTAAATCCGGCCAAAAGGGATACAACTTAATATCATGAACTTTAGAAAGAGGTGAGCAAAGGAAGATACTATTTTGGTATGGCATAGAGTTGTTCTTAACCCTGCCTCTATACTGCAGAAATAGAATGGGTGAGACATCAAAATTCTTGGAATTGTCACTAATACCTCCAAATTAGCTGTAAAGTGAAATGGAGTGCTCTCTTTATCTTTTTTGACTATTCTAATATAGCATTCTGAAATGACTGCTGGAGAATAATGGGTCAAATGGAGGATGTAAACAAATGGATTACTGCATCTGAAAAGGCCAACAAAACATTTCTCCATCAGGCAATCAATAACAAATGAGTAAATCTTACTATATAAGTTCTTAATACTATGCAGTGGTTAAGTAGAGGGTTAAATTTTCTTACCTCTGAATTGCAGTAGAGAGGAGGTGAGTTTATAGAACAACACTTGGAGGCAAAGTCTGAGCGCTTGTCAACCAGCTCTTCGAGTTCTGTCTCTGTGGCATCAGGCAGTTTTCCTCTTAGCCTCTCTGCCAGTCTGAAAGGCCAATTTTATGTGAAGTTTTACTAGATGTGTTTTATAAACACGTCTAGTGCAAAATGATAGCCACTTCAGATCTTTAGCAACAAAAAAGGAAAATATAGTTGCCCTTCTTAAGAAAACTTAATATCTGTGGGATGATTTTTAGTGCCTCAATTTGAGATTAGAAAGTGAAACCTGTCTCTTTAGATCATGAAAGTAAACATACAAACTGTTGCTGAATTTGAATTCCCGCCTTTCCCCTTTCATTCGCTCAGTTGCATCAATCAGCATGGATGACTTCCTCCTCTATCCTCCCTGACCTTTCATCTTCTCTCAAGTTCTAGATCTCAAACTCCTCAAAGAATACTTCCCTTAGAGGACTTTGTCACCTTCATGTATTCTCCCTCATTTTATGTAATTTTCCCTTCAGTTTGCCTACTTCTCAACTAGCTGTACTAGAAAACACAACAAAGGTTAGAAACTTTGGCTCTTGTTTTTAGCTCTACTATTAACTAACTCTCTATCTCCCTTTCAAGACGGTGCTAGGGTCTGAATTCTCTTGATTCTCTCCTAGTTTGATTGGTCTATGATCTTGGTAACTCTCTACCCTCATAATGGTTTATGACTCAGCCTGGTTTACGACTTTCTCCAAGAAATACTTGCCAGCCCACTCAGTAGTGGGATTGGGAAGTAGTAGAGACCCAAGTTTATCTGGAGTTGGGATTAGTAAAATGGATACAGGGAAAGGACAAGAGGGTGAGGGTGACTAGCCTGCTTATAAAAGCGTTATTGAAAAGAGTTGGTTCCAGCTGGGAGGGAAAGCAAGTCAGACCAGAAGGAACTCTGGTAGGATAGGGAGAAAAAGGGCATGTATGGGATTGTAAATACCTAGACTCAATCGTTTCCATCTTCTCTACTTTCAAAACTCAAAATGTCAATTTTACTGCATTAACATTTTTAATGTATTGAGATTATATAAATTATCACTCAGTTGCCCCGTGTAATCCTGGAGTTCAAAACTGTTGGCAGAGAACTTAATCTTGCATTATCTGTAACATTCTATAATGCCTCCATAATCTATTAATTATGTAATTTCCTGTTAACTGGGAAATAACCATTTTGAACTTAAGGATTTCACAGCTTTTTTTCTTTTAGAGCTTTGTTAAGGTAGACTTCATGGGGGTCACTGAAGAAGGTGTCATCCTTTTGGGATTCTTTATAAAGGTCTTTTTGTGGGGTTGTATTTGTGCTTGCTTGATCTGTGTTGTTCAAAATGATTTGAAATGAATCTAAGAAATTAATCACGTTGAGAATGATATGATCTTCTCAACAGAGATTTTCCAGGAAGCCAGTAAAACTTTTTATTATTATGGCCTATTATTTTAGTGTTAACACTTATTTATAAAGAAATGCCTTCCTTTTTGACTTAGCACATCTAAAGTCTTCAACTCTTCTTCAAATAGCAGTACTGGGCTACTATTATTGATAAATTTGGAGGAATCAGCCAGAACAAGTCCCTTACTTTTTCTTGTACTCAGTAAATGTGTTTTCTGAATAATCGGCACACAGTTCTTGTCCCTTTTCAATGAAAGAAGATAGTTCTCTCGTCAATTGAGGACCCTGTAAGAAAACAGTTATTTGTCTTGAAACACTGTCCAGGGAGATGTTAAATCAGAACTCCATGCAATGTATCAAGATGAGTGTTTATTATCTATTATCAGATATTGGCTAACATTTTCTACGTAAGACCAGATTGTAAATATTTTAAGCTTTGTAAGTCCTATACAGTCTCTGCTGTACCTACTCAACTACCACCATGGCAAAACAGCCATAAACAATAAGTAGAGCTATATGCCAATGAAACGTTATGAACGCTGATGTGGGAGTCTTATATAATTTTCATGTATAATATTATTATTTTTAGGGCATTTAAAAATGTAAGACCATTCTTAGATCACAGACACCAGGCCAGATTTGCCCTATGAGCTGCAGTTTACCAACCCTTGATCTATAGCAAAGTTGATAAAGAAAATGTAGCACATTGTACCTTAGCATTGAAACAGGCAGTAGAGTCTTCAGAGTGGCAGCATTCATCAAGGCTTTTCAGGGTTGGCTTAAGTATTTTACTGAGGAATACTTCTGGAATATGAGTCTTCCTACTTAGATCAAACGTATACCTGGCATGAAAGAGAAAGGAGATAACACTCTTTAACAATGGGTAGATTTGTGTAGGCATGTCATGTTTTGAAATTTGACATCTATTAAGGCAGAATACCTGCCTTCTTAATTAAAAATAAGATTTAATTAAAATTGACTCCAAATCAACAGGTTTGAAGTTAAAATCAATATTCTCATTTGAATGCAAATTATTAACAGTTGCTTTGAAGCTATTGTAACTAGTTAATTTAACTTAAGTAAAATGCTGTCTGTACTACATATAAATTTGTTTATATATTTATATATAAACAGATCTACTTCACATGCCTATGGAACTGTCCTTTATGCAACTATAATACAATGAACCCTATATAAAGCATCAAGTGAGTAACTTGGGTAGCTTTTCTGTGAAAGTAGTTTGTGTAAATTCTTCCATTGTCTCTTCCCATTGTTTATGCATTTATAAAAACAAAGAGGGGCTTCCCTGGTGGCACAGTGGTTGAGAGTCCGCCTGCCTATGCAGGGGACGCGGGTTCGTGCCCCGGTCCGGGAAGATCCCACATGCCGCGGAGCGGCTGGGCCCGTGAGCCATGGCCGCTGAGCCTGCGCGTCCGGAGCCTGTGCTCCGCAACGGGAGAGGCCACAGCAGTGAGAGGCCCGCGTACCGCAAAAAAAAACAAACAAACAACAATGAGTACTTAGACAAATGTAAATTAGTTTCAATCTAAATTCAGTCTAAATCCTGCTCTCTAATACTGGTAATTGATTTTAGGGCCTGTTGACTTAATTAAGAAATATTTTTACACCTCAAGTATGCACGTACTCGTAGTTCATGCAACTCAGTATACGCAACCAATGGTTTATTTTAGTTCTTAGCTGGAGGAAAACAGATAAAGGCTTACTATTTCTTCCCATTTTAATTTCTTTGTCACTTAATGCTAGTGAATATCAATACTGTCAAATTAGATCAACCCTACTTACTGATCCAGGACTTTGGTGTTTCCTTTATCACACACATCTTTGTTTGTGGGCAACTTGACATCTGGTAGGTCAGGGTTTTGGGCAGCTGGCATGAAGTAAGTGCACACAAAAATGTCCATGGGTGTTCTTTCTTGACAACAGTCCTTAAACTTAGAATTCTTTGTGGATAAGTTGTCACAGATTTTTACTGTGTACTCAGGCAGCTACAAAAGCAATTGTGAGTTTGTGCATTGTTAGTTTCCTAGTTAGTCTAATTAAAAATAAGGAAGGCTTACAAAAGTCAGTGTGAATGCTCTTTCAAGGTACATTGGTAGGACATTTGCAGAGGGCAGTTTGTCAATGTGTACTAAGAGCCTTAAAGTATACAATCTGATTTCCACGAATTTACTCTCAGAAAATAATTATGGGTGAAGGGAAGATTTAGCTATAAGGCTATTAAGGGCAGCATTGCTTAACATATTAAACTGAAACAACCTAAATCCAATAAAAGGGGACTGGTTAAATAAAAAGATGGCATATCTAGGTAGATTAATGCAGCATATGCAATACATACATAGAGTCCCACTTAGCCATTATAAGTCAGGTTATAGAAAAACATCTATGGACATAGACAGGTATCCTTAATGAAAAAAGGCCAGGTAACAAAGTATCTATCTCTAAAGAGGTCCACAGACACGTAGTGACTTTTATTTAAGTAACAGTTCCAATTTGTATCTACTTGAAAGGATTATATAAATGGAAGGTGAGAAATTTGGATGACTATCAAATTTTAATAGACATAACAAAAACATTAGACGCTTTAAATAATGGTTGTAGTGTTGTCTCATAGAACAGATAATGAATGATGAAATAAATAATTTCTATCTGTACTGTGCAATACTGAGCATTTGAAAAGTGGCTAGTGTTACCAAAGTTGAAGTTTAAACTTGTTTAATTTAAACTTAACTATACATGACTAGTAGATCTGCATTGGGCTCTGTAGGTAGAGTAAGGTCTTGGGAATCAGAATGTTGTCCTTGTGTGTGGACTTTGCCACTTGCTAGTTGTATGACTTCAAATTATTAAACCTTGCTAATCTTCTGTTTCCTCATCTGTAAAACTGAGTTAACAATATATTTAAATTTCATAGGATACATATGAGGATTCATTGAGATGATGCAGATAAAAAGCAGCTTAGGAGAATGCCTGCCACTCAGTATGTGGCTCATGTTAATGATGATTTTCTTACCTCCTTAGCCATGCAGTCCTCAGAGGCAGACTCACAGCACTTGGAGAGGATTGTGGTAATACCTTCAGCCAGTGGCAAAACATCCTCCAGATTTGCAGTAGGCACTTTTTGGGCAAATTTTATGAGATGGCTAAACAGTTAAAAGTGAATTAGTAGCTTACCCATATTCTCAGTTTTTTTGGTTTCATTATGAACACAGAGTCGGGAGGAGTAATAGCATAATTTTAATTCCTCAGCGGCTGCATAGAGCAAAACTGCTATGTGATGGATCCTTTGTGCAGAAGTCACTATTCAGAATTCAGTCATCCCCAATGAATCTTTTCATATTTTCAGTACTGATATAGAGCTTCTATGTGGCCAGATCTACGTAGTTGAAGAATGCCTTTAAAATGTTAGATCTAACGTATAGCTGATTCACTTTGTTATACAGCAGAAACTAACACAACATTGTAAAGCAATTATACTCCAATAAAGATGTTAAAAAATAGTTGTGATAAAAAAATGTTAGATCTAAAATGGCAATAAATAAAGCACTAATGTCTATTCATAAGGCCAGCGCTGTGTTTTTGTGACCCCTCATCGTGTTTAAAAGTTTTCATGAGTTCATTTAGAAACTACAGATAAAAGAAATAATGAAGACCTATAGCCCTAGACCACAGAGTTAATAAATGTTGATGTTTTGATGTATTACCCTGAAGTATTTTATAAGGCTTACAAGGTACTTTATAAGCGATTATGGTGTGCTATACCATTCACCTATTTTCCTTTTTCACTTAATATATCAGGAATAGGTTCTATATCATTCTTTTTAAATTGCAGCAAAAAACATAAAATTGGCCATCTTAACCATTTTTAAGTTCAGCAATGTTAAGTATATTTACTTTTATATAACAGATCTCTAGAAATTTATCTTGCAAAATTAAAACTCGAAACACTTAAATACTGCACCCTCCCCACTGATCCACCCTCAGCCTTTGGTGAGCTTCTACCTTTTTGCTTTCTTTTTCTATGACTTTTATTACTTTAGATATTCTATATGAGTGAAATCATACAGTATTTGTCCTTTTGTGACTGCTTATTTTGCTTAGCCTAACGTCCTCAATGTTCATCCATGTTGTAGCATGTAACAGGAGTTTAAGACTATATAATATGTAATATAGGTATGTATTGTATGTATGTATCACACATTATCCATTCATCTGTCAGTGGACATTTGGGTTGCTTCTACCTCTTGACTATTGTGAATAACGCTACAGTTAACATGGGTGTGCAAATATCTCTTTGAGGTTCTGCTTTGAATTTCCCTGGATATATATGCAGAGTGAGATTGCTGGATCATATGGTGACTCTATTTTAAAATTTTTGAAAAACCTTCATACTATCTTTCACAATGGCTGTACCATTTTGCATTCCCATCAGCAGTGCACAAGGATTCCAATTTCTCCATATCCTTGCCAACACTCATTTTCTGTTCTTTTGGTAGTGGCCATCCTAATAGGTGTGAGATGATATCTCATTGTGGCTTTGATTTGTATTTCTCTTATGATTAGTGATGTTGAATATCTTTCCACTTACATATCTCTTGTTGAATCATCTATTCAATTATTTTTAATCAAGTTATTTTTTGTTGAGCTGTAGAAGTTCCTTACACATTCTAGATATTAAACCCTTATTAGATAGATGACTTGCAAATATTTTCTTCCATCCCATAGATTGCCTTTTCACTTGGTTTTTTCCTTTAAAGTGCAGTAGTTTAAGCTTGATGTAGTCCTGTATATCTAGTTTTGCTGTGACCTATGCTTTGTTGTCATTTCCAAGAAATTGCCAAATCCAATGGCCTGAAGTTTATTCCCTGTGTTTTCTTCTAGGAGTTTTATAGATTTAGATCTTTAATCCATTTTGAATTAATTTTAATGCATGGTGTAAGGTAAGGGTTCAACTTCATTCTTTTGCAAGTGCAAATCCAATTTTTCCGCACCATTTGTTGAAGAGACTTTTTTCTCAATCATGTAGTTTTGGCACCCTTGTGGAAAATCATTTGGCCATATATATATTAGGGTTTCTATATGAGCACTCTATTCTTTTCCACTGGTCTCTCTGTATCTTGTTATGCCCATACCACAGTGTCTTTATTACTGTTGCTTTGTAATATGTTTTGAAATCAAAGTGTGAGACCTCCAACTTTGTTGTTCTTTTTCCAGATTGTTTTGGCTATAAGGAGTCCCTTGATATTCCATATGAATTTTAGGGTGATTTTTTTTTTCTGTTTCGGCAAAAAAAAAAAAAAAAAAAAAATGCCATTGGGATATTGATAGAGATTACATTGAATCTGTAGATTGCTTTGGATAGTATGGATATTTTTACAACATTCTTCCAATCCATAAGCATGAAATATCTATTTGTAGTTTTGATTTCTTTTAGCAATACTTTGTTTTCAATAAATATTCTTTTAAAATATAATTATAACAAACTGTATGGCATTCTCTCATAAATGGATATATCATGATTGATTTAAATATGCTGTATTAGGAAATATCTAAGTTTTTCATATTAAAAAAAAATGTGGCAGCAATGTTTTTAGCTAAATCTTTGTCCACACTCAGTGATAGTTCCTTGGAGTAAATTCCTAGACACTAATGCAAGTATAAATTTATGATTAAGACATATATGTATATTGTTATAGGGGGTTTTATACTATGAATTCCTATGCTCTGCATGCCAAATACTCTAAATGCAAGGAAAACTAAAGGGAAGTTTTAGAGAAGATGCCATTTAGTATTTCAGTAGTTCTAGTGGAAGATTATTTTTAAAGGACTTGTGAAAGTAGTTTCTATGCCCTTTGGGGGAACCTTAAGATCTGGTCCCAGCATGAATTCTTTCATTACCATTAGAGGAAAACACTTGTGGATCAGAGTAAAAGGAATTAAAGAGACTCTAAATACTGAAGATATAAAGCTGGCAAATCTAGATGTCTGAGAAGTTGAGGGAAGTGTAAACATAGAAACTGTCAAAATTGTGAAATTAACAATAGCCATACAAAAATAAAATGAAGCTTATAAACAAAGTAAGTAATTAGAATAAATTCATGAAGCTTAAGAGATGTACACTATAGAGCACAAAGCTTCATATAACAAGAATTCAGGAAGTTTTTTCCCAAGGAAAACATAGGCAAAGCAAGTAACACGTGATGAATAAAAACGATTGTTTTTGCTCATGTGTTTGTAATACATGCTAATATGAATACTGAGGAGATAATTTCTAGTGGTCTACCAGTCTTCCCATATGAGCATATGGAAAAGGTTGATTAAAATCAAATTATGGTTTAGAAAATTTTGTTCCTTATTCATATTTTGTGTAGAGAAAAGAAAAAATAACTGGGCCCTACTTGAGGATTATTGGAGCATAACACTATGGTCTGTATCTTCTATTACAAACATTTTCTTAGAGAATCCTAATATTATGGATCAACAGTGCAGAAACAAACAGCTATACATGCTGATGGTGCTAAATCTTTACCTGAGCCTTGATTTCTCCTTCCCATAAGCAGAGTATTGTGAACAGATTCTATTTGACATTGTGGTGAGAAGTGATAAATGTTTAAGCTGAAGTCTCTAGAAAATAAATGAGAGAATGTCATTAGATGGTCAGGATCCATTGAAAGCAGTGTGCAGGAATGGCCAAAAGGAGACCATTTGGACTCCTTTTGATGACTAGAAAACTGAATTCTGACCAACGGAACTTTTTCCCCAGAGGTGATTGTGTGTTTTTTCCAATTAACAAAATACGAAAGAGGCATTTTAAAAACGTTTATGGATTCCAGAATCGGAATCTTTCTAACATTATTTGAAAGGAACGGCATTAATAGAAGAAGAAGAAAAAAGAACATAACTATTTAACAAAATGACACTTACCTCTTTCAAAAAGCATACTGTTGGGTTTGGTGAGGTACAGCACAACCCTACCATGGAGAGAGAACTCTTGGTGTAACTGACTAATAGTGTCAAAGGAGCTTGTCCATAATTAATGGAATATTCATACATAAATCTGTGGGGGGAAAAATAGGATTGGTCAAAACATTTGTGGGAAACAGTCTTTTTCAGAAGTGTTTTGATGGAAAAAGGGTGCATGTTAGTTGATAGTTATAATATCTAAAAAGCACTAGGGATTTAGAGAAAGGGTTATAATACTAGTCACTTTTAATCAATATCTTCATTTAAAAAATCGTTTCTGAATTTCCACGTAGATTACTTGGGAGGGGTCATTTATCCCTTTATTCCTTTAGCGTCTGCCATATGCATGGCCTATGGTAGCTGCTTATTAACGTTGGTGGAAAAAATTGAAATGAAGGTAATGGAATTATCTTTCATTATCTGTTTATTCTAGACAATTGCTGTGTATAGGCTTGTTTGTTTGTTGAAATTATTTTAATTTTTGTGAGCATAAGCCGCTAAGTGTCTAAAGAGACTGAGATCTTAGGCAAAATCCTCCCTGAATTTACAGGGATGGGCAAGCCAACCAACTTTTATGAAATCACGACCTAGATTTCATACTTCTAAAGCCAGTTTGAATGATGTTGCTTTTGACTTCTGTGTGTGTATATATATTTTTTCTATTATTATAATTTTTTTCCAACTTTATGATCTTCTGAGAGTAAAGAATCAATATATAATCGGCTCTTCATGAATGTTAAACAAGAAGGTAAAAGTAATATGTCCACTAATGTGGTACAACAAGTGTCATGTTCACAAGTGTTTCTGGGAATGTACTGTAAGAGTGAAAAACTGTTTATTTCTTGTGCTCTACTGGAAATTAAATACTTGTGCACAGCAATAAAATTCTATCAGATGGAGTATGCAAGGATCCCTAACATAAGAGGAATCACAACAGCTGCTGTCAAATATTTGAACGTGTCATGTGGACAGGGGATCCAAGTGAGCCTGCTTCAGATACTAGAACTGCGATGAGAGAGGGTAGACGTTTGGGAAAGTTGACTTCATCTGCATCTGAGAAAGCTATTTGTAATAGGCACTGACAGAGATGGGATGTTGTGGGTGATAGTCAAGTTTTCGTTATTGGTAATTGTCCGGGTTGCGGTAAAAGAGGTGTTTATATAGAATAGGGGGTTAGATTAGACATGTATGTTATTTTATGCCCTGAAGTTTTACATATGATGAAAGCAGCTTACTGATCAGCAAACCCCTTGGGATCTTTCCTGAATGCCTCACAGATCTCATCATTTGTTGGCTCTACATAGGTAGGAAATTCTTGTGGCTGGTGCTTCAGGGCAGCCATACAGAGTTTCTTTTCAAGGCCCTCTTTGGTGCAGCACTCGGGAGTTCCTGGGTGTACTGGGAATGGAGAGTCACTTTCACAGGACTTAGCAGACAATGCTGAAGTCTAGAATGAGAAAAGAAAAGTAAACTCACATATGTGCAAGTTTCCAGGCTTATAGTTCTCCATTTAGTATAACATCTTAGTCTTAAATTTTAAAATTCTCATTGGTAACAAACTGGCCATGACAAGCTGCATTATTCTAGTTATAGGCTAGTACAGGGTCTTACGTTAAGACTCAGAGTAGGACCAAAAGAGAACCTTCATTAACAAGTTAACTGTACACGATTGCAGCTGTTAGAGGTTTGATCCTCTAGTACAGTGTTTATCCACAGGGATATTAACATCTCTAAGGATGAGGGAGGTCATTTGAAAAAGCTCCATTGATTCTGATGTGACCTCCCATCTGTATTCTGTTCTAAATACCACTAAGAATGGGGACCTCCCTCTTCCCTCCTCTCCTCCCTTTGTTAAATGAACAGGCTCTTAATCCTTGACTGCTTTTGTCTTCAACATTGATTTGCATTCTCCTACTCAATGGTTCTTTAGCCTGCTTTTGCATCAGTGTATAAAAATAAGAAATGCCAAAAAAAAAAAAGAACAGAAAAAAAGAAATGCCTGGGCTACATAACACAGAAATTCTGATCAGTATGTCAAAGATGAGGCCTGAGGGCCTGTTTTTTCCCCAAAGTCCCAAAGTTTATTCTCCTATGCATCATGGGTTGAAGCACTGGTACAACTTAATTTACTGCCTCAACAGTGGTACATAGATACGTGTGGGCGGACTAAGCCCATGGTAAGAGTACCACCAAAGCAGTTGTAGCAACAAAATGTTCTTTTTGGAAAGAATTTGATACCTGGAATAAAAACGTGGAATAGAAATAGTCCCATGGAAATAGAAATAAGTCCATGGAAAAAATTGGGGATTTACATGGGAAAATGATTTTGACATCTTTACAGTTATTTTATAAGATATCTTTTGAAGATAAAACTTCTAAAGATCTTTCCTATCGATGAAGGAAAGCAAAGCAACATGATGAATCATTTATGTAAGCCAAAAGTAAACAGTGAATCTTTTCCCATTTCTTTCCCTGGCAACTTTCCTATTTTTCCTTTTTTTATTACCTCCTTTCAAATAAAAAAAAAGTTTACAAAGAAAGTAACATATTTGTAGAAAAAAATTGCTTTGTAAAGCAGGAAAATGGTGTTATCCAAAAAATGTCAATGCTATCTCTGTTCTTATGATCTGTCTCTAACAATCTTGGATGGGTTATGACCAAACATTTCTGGTCAAGGGATGGGTTAGCCAATATGTAAAACAAAATGGAAATAAAAATGTGTTCTTTTTTTTTGATTGTAGTTGGTAGTTTGCTTGTTTATTTTAAGATAGTGCAGAAGGTTGTGTTGAAATGACATATTTGTGGAGTTGTTGGTGAGAGAAAACGATAAAGTGCTTAGAATGTAGACAAGGTCCAGGTAAAGAAATTAATAGGTAAGAGTCATAGAATATATTCTAATTAGATCTTTGGAGCATTGTGTCTGTTGGCTAACTGTTGAAGTCTTGAGCAATGAGACATTTGTCTGTAGAGGCCTTTATCAAGATGCAGCTAAATGTCATTTTCATTCTTCCTGATGACAGTATCAGTAAATTGCTAGAAACGCCTGTAGTTTCACATTTTTCAGCTGTTGTCTATATTTTGAAAACTGTCACTTCAGCATTTTTTATTTCTGCATGTATACTCTAAGGTAGAAAACGCAGAACTGTGTGTGTATATACAGGGCAATTTTTGAACCCCCAAATAACTTGAAACCAACGCTAAGTTTTTCCAGGGCACTTGGTACCAGTCTTGGCATGATACAGGTATGGGTATTGGTAGGCTTCTAAGATACACAGAATATATTAGAATTATTTCAAGAGGAATTTCAAGAGAATTAATAATACACACCCCAGTTTTCTCATTTGAACCTTGTAGGACTAATGGGCAGAATTGATTCACTATACCAGAATAAATTTGGGCTCTAGGATAATAGACTTCGTATCTCCCTCAAACTTGGAGTAGGTGGGTTGCTGTCTAAAATTTCCCCAAGATATGATGTAAAGGCCTGTCTTGACCCCCTTCTATGGGCCAGCATAGACACGGCCAACCACACAATCCTACCCTGTTGTCATAACAGTCAGGGTCGGCCCCCTCAGCACAGCAGGCTTCTGTCAAGGAGACAACTTCATTCACAAGATGACTGATCTGTTCAAAGGTAGCACTGGGAAATTTTCTGCTGTATAGGACCATTGACCTGAGGAGAAATGGAAGTCAATGTATGCAGAATTTTTTAAAGTTTTCACATTTGCACATATTTTAATATGAAATCTATTCAATTTTTTAGTGGAATATTGCACCCATGTTCTTGACTAATGAAAATATGACATTGGCTTTAAAAATAAGTTTATCTGGAACAAAGATTCATCTTGTAACAGTAGAACTTGGGTTTGGGAGTTCCATCAAACCAGCCTCATGTTCTTTCCTCTCTCAAGCCTCCCCAAATGAACCTTTCCTTTACTTGCTGCCTTTGTTTGCCAGCGTCATAGCATGTACTATTTGCCTTTTAATTCACCTTAGAAAACTATGCTTACTTGTTTTCTCAACTCATTAGTATACTTGTAACAAATTCTTAGACCATATTAACAATAGTTCAGCTGGAATCTTTGGATGTCCTCCATTTGCCTGACATCTCTGCCCACTTTGACCCTGGGGCTCTATCCTCTTAATCTTAATGGAGATCAGTTCAGTCCCTGACACAGAACTGAAGATACCTCACACTTAGCTTCATTCAAGGTCAGGTAGCTAGGAGAGTGAGCAAGTACCTCATACTTACAAAGATGTGAAGTCATCTTTTCCCAGGCTGGCGAGTTCCTTGCAGACTTTATCTTTCTCATAATCTCGACCTAGGAACCAGAAATATATATTAAAAAAGTATCTTTTTCCTTTTAAATGAATGTTGCATTAAATGTATATATACAAAGGGATCTTCCACATGACTCATCAATGGTGAAAGTAGCATTTTTCTCAATACCTATATGCAATTACACTTTTTGACAATGGATCAAAATTTGATGGCATACTATAAACTTTAATGAAAATTAAAGAAATAAAATAAGAAAAAGAATTAACTGTAGAGGGCAGACAACAGAAGCAAGAAGAACTACAATTCTGCAGCCTGTGGAAGGAAAACCACATTCACAGAAAGATAGACAAAATGAAAGGCAGAAGACTTTGTACCAGATGAAGGAACAAGATAAAACCCCAGAAAAAACAACTAAATGAAGTGGAGATAGGCAACCTTCCAGAAAAAGAATTCAGAATAATGACAGTGAAGATGATCCAGGACCTCAGATAAAGAATGGAGGCAAAGATCGAGAAGATGTGAGAAATGTTTAACAAAGACCTAGAAGAATTAAGGAACAGACACCTAGCAGAATTAGAGAACAAACAGAGATGAACAATAACTGAAATGAAAAATACACTAGAAGGAATCAATAGCAGAATAACTGAGGCAGAAGAATGGATAAGTGACCTGGAAGATAAAATAGTGGAAATAACTACTGCAGAGCAGAATAAAGAAAAAAGAATGAAAAAAATTGAGGACAGTCTCACAGACCTCTGGGACAACATTAAATGCACCAACATTCACATTATAGGGGTCCCAGAAGGAGATGAGAGAGAGAAAGGACCCAAGAAAATATGTGAAGAGATTATAGTTGAAAACTTCCCTAACATGGGAAAGGAAATAGCCACCCAAGCCCAGGAAGTGCAGAGAGTCCCAGGCAGGATAAACCCAAGGAGAAACATGCCGAGACATATAGTAATCAAATTAATAAAAATTATTGAAAGCAACAAGGGAAATATGACAACATACAAGGGAACTCCCATAAGGTTACAGCTGATTTCTCAGCAGAAAATCTACAAGCCAGAAGGGAGTGGCATGTTATGTTTAAAGTGATGAAAGGGAAGAACCTACAACCTTGCTGGATGTAATATCCAGCAAGGATCTCATTCAAATTTGACAGAGAAATCAAAAGTTTTACACACAAGCAAAAGTTAAGAGAATTCAACACCACCAAACCAACACTACAACGAATGCTAAAGGAACTTCTCTAAGTGGGAAACACAAGAGAAGAAAAGGACCTACAAAAACAAACCCATAACAATTAAGAAAAGGGTAATAGGAACATACATATTGATAATTACCTTAAATGTGAATGGATTAGATGCTCCAACCAAAAGACACAGGCTTGCTGAATGGATACAAAAACAAGACCCATATAGGTGCTGTCTACAAGAGACCCACTTCATACCTAGGGACACATACAGACTAAAAGTGAGGGGATGGAAAAAGATATTCCATGCAAGTGGAAATCAAAAGAAAGCTGGAGTAGCAATACTCATATCAGATAAAATAGGCTTTAAAATAAAGACTATTACAAGAGACAAGGAAGGACACTACATAATGATCAATGGATCAATCCAAGAAGATATAAGAATTATAAATATATATGCACCCAACATAGGAGCACCTCAATACATAAGGCAACTGCTAACAGCTATAAAAGGAAACTGACAGTAACACAGTATTAGTGGGGGACTTTTAACACCTCACTTACCACAATGGACAGATCATCCAGACAGAAAATTAATAAGGAAACACAAGCTTTAAATGGCACAATAGACTGGATAGAGTTAATTGATATTTATAGGACATTCCATCCAAAAACAGATTACAGTTTTCAAGTGCACATGGAACATTCTCCAGGATCACTTCTTGGGTCACAAATCAAGCCTTAGTAAGTTTAAGAAAATGGATATCATATCAAGCATCTTTTCTGGTCACAATGCTATGAGATTAGAAATCAACTACAGGGAAAAAAACATAAAAAACACAGATACACGGAGGCTAAACAATACGTTACTAAATAACCAAGAGGTCCCGAAGAAATCAAAGAGGAAATCAAAAAATACCTAGAGACAAATTACAATGAAAACACAACAATCCAAAACCCTTGGGACGCAGCAAAAGCAGTTCTAAGAGGGAAGTTTATAGCAATACAAGCCTACCTCAAGAAACAAGAAAAATCTCAAACTATCTAACGTTACACCTCAAGGAACTAGAGAAAGAAGAATAAACAAAACCCAAAATTAGCAGAAGGAAAGAAAGAAAAGATCAGAGCAGAAATAAATGAAATAGAAACAAAGAAAACAGTAGCAAAGATCAATAAAACTAAAAGTTGATCCTTTGAAGGTAAACAAAATTGATAAACCTTTAGCCAGACTCATCAAGGAAAAGAGGGAGAAGACTCAAATCAATAAAGTTAGAAATGAAAAGGAGAAGTAACAATGGATACCGCAGAAACACAAAGCATCGTAAGAGACTGCTAAATGCAACTCTATGCCAATAAAATGGACAACCTGGAAGAAATGGACAAATTCTTAGAAAGGTATAAACTTCCAAGACTGAACCAGGAAGAAATAGAAAATGTAAACAGACCAATCACAAGTAATGAAATTGAAACTGTGACTAAAAATCCTCCGGGCTTCCCTAGTGGCGCAGTGGTTGAGAGTCCGCCTGCTGATGCAGGGGACACGGGTTCGTGCCCCGGTCCGGGAAGATCCCACATGCCACAGAGTGGCTGGGCCCGTGAGCCATGGCCGCTGAGCCTGCACGTCCAGAGCCTGTGCTCTGCAACGGGAGAGGCCACGACAGAGAGATGCCCATATACCGAAAAAAAAAAAAAAATCTTCCAACAAACAAAAGTCCAGGACCAGATGGCTTCACAGGTGAATTCTATCAAACATGTGGAGAAGAGCTAACACCTATCCTTCTCAAACTCTTCCAAAATATAGCAGAGGGAGGAACACTCAGAAATGAGGGAGGAACACTCCCTCAATCTATGAGGCCACCATCACCCTGATACCAAAACCAGACAAAGATACTACAAAAAAAGAAAATTATAGACCAATATCACTGATGAATATAAATGCAAAAATCCTCAACAAAATACTAGCAAACAGAATCCACCAACACATTAAAAGGATCATACACCATGATCAAGTGGGATTTATCCCAGGGATCCAAGCATTCTTCAATATACACAAATCAATCAATATGATACACCTCATTAACAAATTGAAGGAAAACCATATGATCATCTCAATAGATGCAGAAAAAGCTTTTGACAAAATTCAACACCCATTTATGAAAACTCTCCAGAAAGTGGGCATAGAAGGAACCTACCTCAACATAATAAAGGCCATATATGAAAAACCCACAGCAAACATTCTCAATGGTGAAAAACTGAAAACATTTCCTCTAAGATCAGGAACAAGACAAGGATGTTCACTCTCACCACTATTATTCAACAAAGTTTTGGAAGTCCTAGCCACAGCAATCAGAAAAGAAAAAGAAATAAAAGGAATACAAAATGGAAAAGAAGAAGTAAAATTGTCACTGTTTACAGATGACATGATACTATACATAGAGCATCCTAAAGATGCCACCAGAAAACTACTAGAGCTAATCAATGAATTTGGTAAAGTTGCAGGATACAAAAGTAATGCACAGAAATCTCTTGCCTTCTTATACACTAATAATGAAAGATCAGAAAAAGAAATTAAGGAAACAATCCCATTCACCATTGCAACAAAAAGAATAAAATACCTAGGAATAAACCTACCTAAGGAGACTAAAGACCTGTATGCAGAAAACTATAAGACACTAATGAAAGAAATTAAAGATGATACCAACAGATGGAGAGATATACCATGTTCTTGGATTGGAAGAATCAACATTATGAAAATGACTGTACTAACCAAAGCAATCTACAAATTCAATGCAATCCCTATCAAATTACCAATGGCAATTTTTACAGAACTAGAACAAAAAAAATCTTAAAATTTGTGTGGAGACACAAAAGACCCCGAATAGCCAAAGCAGTCTTGCAGGAAAAAAATGGAGCTGGAGGAATCAGACTCCCTAACTTCAGACTATGCTACAAATCTACAGTAATCAGGAAAGTATGGTACTGGCACAAAAACAGAAATATAGATCAGTGGAACAGGATAGAAAGCCCAGAGATAAACCCACACACCTATGGTCAACTAATCTATGACAAAGGAGGCAAGGATATACAATGGAGAAAAGACTGCCTCTTCAATAAGTGGTGCTGGCAAAACTGGACAGCTACATGTAAAAGAATGAAATTAGAACACTCCCTAACACCATACCCCAAAATAAGCTCAAAATGGATTAGAGACCTAAATGTAAGATCGGACACTGTAAAACTCTTGGAAACATAGGAAGAACACTCTTTGACATAAATCACAGCAAGATCTTTTTTGACCCACCTCCTAGAGTAATGGAAATAAAAACAAAAATAAACAAATGGGACTTAACGAAACTTAAAAGCTTTTGCACAGCGGAGGGAACCATAAACAAGGTGAGAAGACAATCCTCTGAATGGGAGAAAATATTTGCAAATGAATCAACGAACAAAGGTTTAATCTCCAAAATATATAAACAGCTTACGCAGCTCAATATTAAAAAGAAAACAACCTGATCCAAAAACGGGCAGAAGACTTAAATAGACATTTCTCCAAAGAAGACATACAGATGGCCAAGAAGCACATGAAAAGCTGCTCAACATCACTATCAGAGAAATGCAAATCAAAACTACAATGAGGTATCATCTCACACCAGTTAGAATGGGCATCATCAGAAAATGTGCAAACAACAAATGCTGGAGAGGGTGTGGAGAAAAGAGAACACTCTTGCACTGTTGGTGGGAATGTAAATTGATACAGCCACTATGGAGAACAGTATGGAGGTTCCTTAAAAAACTAAAAATAGAATTACCGTATGACCCAGCAATCCCACTAATGGGCATATACGCTG